TAATTACATTTAAATAGTTATAATAAAAATTACAATTTTCTCAGATTTATGAGAATTTGGAGGAAAAAACAAAATCTGTTCAATTATAGTTATCGTTTACTTACCGAAATAAATAATTCATTTCACGAGAAGCATTATAATCTGTTAACTTTACGATATGTCCTTGTTTCTTAAATTTGTAATTATTAAAATAATTGTGAAAACATTTTAACTCCAAAATTAACAAAGAAGAACTAAATGAAATTAACATAATATCACACGCGATCTGTATTAAAAATATTAATCCAAATTAACAGAACCGAGAGTGTAGTCGCGAGTTTTTTTGTTCTAGACGATCAGAATTTCATCGGCATTGATTAGGCTAAGTGGTATCTGGCACACGCGTATTTAACACGTTATATCGCGATAGAACTATTTTCTTCCTTCTCGTTTTATCACAGAATACATGATAAGAATTTTATTAGCATACCCTTTGCTTTTAGCTTCTCCTTCTTCTTCTTCTTCTTCTTCTTCTTCTTCTTCTTCTTCTTCTTCTTCTTCTTCTTCTTCTTCTTCTTCTTCTTCTGCTTCTTCTTCTTCTTCTTCTTCTTATTTGAAATTCTCGCTGATTCTTTTCACTGATATCTGAGGAAGAGTAAATGGTCGATGTATCTTGCGATATAGAATAAGAATAAAAAAAAACGATCGAACGTGCACTGTGTCGTTGTCAAGAAGAAACTGAAAGCAACCTATAGACAGGTGCGACATTCACTTTAGACGACACTCCAGTGTATCTCAAGCTTACATTTCATGTCAGTATACACATAAATACGCGTATATCGTATACGTTCATGTATTGCATACCTATGTATATACGTTTGTAAGTGAGAACTACGTCGTAACCAATGCCCCACTATTTTCTCCTCGAATATTGTTGTAGTCTTCGTCATCGTTGTCGTCGTAATCATCAAGGTCCCACGGACTATTATGCGATTACTATAAGTTCGCCGGTTTACAAATAAACACCGAATGAAACTTATCAATGATTATAAAAAAAAAAAATGATTACGATATTGTAAAAAAAATTCCGATATATTATTATAAATCAATTATTTTATAATTAAATATTTTACAGTTAAACAATTGTATCGTTTAATATGTATTATATCACATTATACAATTATATGTAATTAATATATTTTGGAATATTTCGTTCGTATTTGAATTGAAAAATATTTTTCTTTAGATTAAAATAATGCTTTAAAATATATTGGAAATGATCAAAATGAATGGTTAACAATTTAAAAAATTCATTTTTAAAATCATATTTTAGAAATAAGAAAATTTATTAAATGAACCTATCAGGTAGAAAAATTAAAAAAATAGAATACGCTCGCTGACAATTTCATTATTAATCTCTCTTGGCTTTTAAGCTAAATTTTCCTTGGCCCGCTTACCTCCTTTTTCGATTTCTCCTTGAGAGTTTATACTTCTATATGTATGCGTAAGAATCTTTTTGATACGAGCGATCATTAAATAAATCTCAAAAACATTAACATTTAGTCCATAATATCAACTTTCTAATATCATAATGTATGTAAATAAATAGTTAATTTTTCTTTTTCGTACATAATTCGGCGATAAACAATTTTCAAATAACAAAATCTTTGCAATCGATTCTATATTCAATTCTTGGAATCAGTTTTATAATTTTTCCATTATTTTCCACTTTGGATAACACATAACGCGTGTTAGCACAGATATCACGTTTATCGAGCTATTGATAATCTGCATGACATATAAAAACCACAAGAATCAAACGCCTGGTAGAAATAATTAATTACTTCGATGAGCACAAGTTGTGGTTGATAAAGGTTATTCACCAATTATCAGACGCTTTTCTCTTCATTAACCATGCATACAAGGTCATTTATAAATAAACAGAAGTTGACATTTTTTTATCAAGAAAGCATTACACACAATCATATTCTTTAATTATGTCTACAAAATTAAATGAAAATGTTTAAAGTAACCGTTCCGACGAACATTTACGACACGTTGTAAAGGTAAATCATGCACTCGTTGGAAACTGCCAGTATCTACCGTACAATTTCGAATGCATTACATCTCTCTCGTCATAAATCATGAATATCATAAGTATAGATCAAACGGAATTCTCCAGGGGGAATAGCGAAATTTTCATGAATTTTATATATAAAAATAATAAAATAAGTAAATAAATGTAAAATAAATTTAAATGAATAGATACTTTTCTGTAGAGATGAATCTTTTTCTTCTCCTTCATATAATCATAAACGATGCATAGATAGATACGCACATGTATAATTAAATACACACATACATACTTTTATTTGTAGAGTTTGTACGAAGCGAGGCCGATCGTTGGCTGACACGATCATATCGGATTCACTTCGCTTTCACTTTGCTCGTCCATCAGCATTACATATAGAGTTTATACTTCCGTGTGTGAGTATGTGGCGATGAACCAGGTATCCTATGTATACCATATTCCTTTTGCATCAAAAGAACTCCGAGAAAATCCAAGCAAAAAGTACACGTGACAGGTTGAAAGAAAGAAACTGATTGCATACGCTAAAGGCAACTATTAAAAATATTCGGATCTTTTTTTTTTTAAATAAAATAATTCTCTTTTTTTCTTTAATCTCAATTTGAGATTATACAATATTAGAGAAAAAAAAAATAATACAAAACAAGCTTCCTGAAAATTTTCTATCGAAAATCGAATATTTGATTTTTCTCGATTTTTTTTTTTTTTTGAAACTATATGATCTGAAAATTATTATTAATCCAATTTGTTATTGAAATATTGAAATTTATAATGAACATCATCGTTATTGAAACGATTCTATATCGATATGAAAATATTCATAGACATATTTATTTATATATCAAAAATCTTTAATTTTTATATATGAATACACGAATCGAATTGTTTCGCTCTATACTTATGGCGATTAATTCAGAATCGGTTCAAAGAAACAAAGAGCTCGTTTCTCTCTCACTGTTATCGATTAAACTTCTCGAACGTTACAATTATGTAAAGAAAATTACTACATAATAGGAAATATAGTTCAAACCAACACGTGGTAGCATCAAATTTAATAACTAAAACTAATTCTATTTGGTGAATTATTACATTATATTATGAAGATAAATCTTATAACTATACAGTAATATAAATATCCATGTATTAACGCGTTTACCAGTAACCAATGGTACAGATGTATGTATACTTACATATATCCTACGGATATTTATATACGTGGTGCAAGTGCCTTCCAGCACCATAATCCGGTCTTGTCCTCGCCGTGACTCGTCGGTGACGTAACCCATAAATAGAAGTCAAGAGAGTAAACCCAGCAGACGTTATCCGTCTTCGAGGAGAAACGAATCTTTCTAATAACGATACGTGTACCATAAAAAGATGCAAAAATCATTAAGAATTTCGATCATGATGATCCTTCTAACGTGGAAAACGTACGCCGAAGTCTATGAAGGAACGATAATGAACACAAACGAAAGGACACTATTCATAAGGAGTCTTCCCGGTTATCCTGGAAGTAGAAGCAACTTGTACGAAGTTTACATGGAACCCTATTTTTTTGTATGTATTAAGAATCTCTCTATATATCTATCTATCTATCTCTTTCTCTCTTTGTCCTCTTTCTCCTCTTTTATTAGCAATATTTTCTATTATTAAATTCTATCGAAATATGCAGGTAATAGGATTGAAAGCAGTGGTTGAGATGAGAGCACTCGGGAAAGATGGATTGCCAATAGAAGGTCCCAAAGGAAGGTTGACACTGGAACAACAAGCCGATGGGGTTAAAATAATTGGAACTATAACGGGTTTGAGTCCGGGTATGCATGGATTCCATGTACATGAAAAGGGTGATCTTAGAGAAGGGTGTGATTCTGCTGGACCGCACTTTAACCCTTACATGGTAAACATTTTGTTTTCCTTTATTCTTTTTTTCTTTAATTTCGCGCCATACAATATTTCATATATATACATGCGTACATATATGATATATAGGTAAATCACGGAGCACCAAACGATCCGTTACGGCATGTCGGAGATTTGGGTAACATCGAGGTCGGCCCTGATGGAGTAGCACAAATCAATGGTATGGATCGCTATCTGAGTTTGGTTGGAGTTCGAGGTGCCGTAGGAAGAGCATTGGTGATACATGCAAAACCAGATGACTTTGGTCGCGGAGGAACCGAAGAAAGCATTAAAACTGGTTCATCCGGAGCTCGATTAGCTTGCGGCATTATTGGATTTTTATAAACGTAATGTTGGATTCTCCTTCGCCTTATTTTATACTGCCTATAATGTCGAGCGTTTTATTTCAATTCAAATAAATCGATTGTATTTTATCGACTCTTCCATTTGAACTCGATCAACCTCAAGAATTCTTTTACCAACTTGAAAGTGAAATAGAACGACGAATGTGAAAGGATTAGGTAACTGTCATGTCCTAAGGGTATACGACCACAAATAATTAACAAGTAACTATAAATGTGTATTGATGAATATTCCCTTCTAACGCAAACTATCCTCACCATATATTATTATATACTTTTACACAAATAAAACGATCATTTTGACGTAATAAATGAACAAGTGTAAACATTTGGAAAAAATATATGATTCATTCATTAAGCTTCGTAACGAGATAATAATAATTTTGATAATATACAGTAGAGGACAAAAGTTTAAAACGATAATTTTTTCAGCGATTACAGAATATTCTTTTAATTATACATCCGTTTTTCGATTTACGCGGATTGTTCGTTCCACGCGTTTTTTCTTTTTTTTTTTTTTTTTTTTTTTTTTAACGCGGAAGGAAACCGCGGAAGAGTCCGTCAATACGAAAAAAAAATACTAAAGAAAAATGCCGATATAAGTTACAGAAGTATTTATTTCGCATATTTTTATATAAAAAAAAAAAAAAAGAATTAATAATGAAAATTCATAAAAATAAAAATAAATTTTATTCGTTATCTATGCCGACACCGTAATCTAGAACAATCAATCTTTTCTTTTTAATTTGTACAAAATCATTATCTTCATCGCTAGATATATTTGAGAATTTGCTTAATCATTAAAGATTATAGAAAAATATATGTTCTCATAGCGTAAAATGAGATCGTGTAAATTGATACAGAGTATAAATCCGCATAAAAACGGAGAGATTATTTACCGCGTATAAAAGTAAATCGATGAAAGGATATACATGTACACTTTTCGTGTATGATTTTATGACCCTTAAGATTTAATACCTTGCGGATACTTGAAACATAATGCGATAATTTTTGAAAAAAATCGCCTTGAACTTTTATCCACTACATAATTCCTGTACCATAATTTCGCTGATCGGTTAATCGGTTAAACATTAAAAATGTGATTTTATTTTTATTTATGCAAAACATTGTTAGACTTTAAAACTGATAGAAAATTGTTAAGTTAAGAAAAAAAAGAAAAGTAATAATAAGACGTCGACAATTCGTAAGAACAAACGAAAAGATAAGAAAATAATATTTAAATATTTTGTTTCGCATAAAATGATAATTATCTTCAACATCGAATATTATTAACGCACGATGATCTTTACGCACCGTTGTTATATTAAATATTAACTATTTTCTTCGTTTACCAGTCGAAAAGAAGATTCGAATGTAAGTCGATGACAACCGCGCACCTTGTCGATGGCGGGCAATGATTTTGTTTCAGTTAATTCTTCCAAAGCCTGAATCATCTTTGAAACAATTTCTGGTGGTGAACGTCTTCTCGTTCCTGGTGCATCTGGTCTATGTTGAAAGACCTCTTGTCGTTGTTGCAAAGCCATAGGAAAGATTTGCGGTTGGAAATGCACTAGTGGACATTGAACCGTGAAAGGTTAGGTTATATCACGGTCACAAGAAGCGGTTAATATCGATTTCTCGACATGTACCGCTAGAAAACTGTTAAACTACTTTATCGTAAAAATTAAATCTTTCATATGACAAAAAATAATCTTTTTTTTTTTTGTTTTTTTTTTTATATGAAAATTTTTTTTTAAATTATTTGAAAATTTTTCATTTTAAATGTTCTTTTATCGATCATCGAACTTATTCTATGAATAAAAGAAATTCATTCGACTTCTTTTCCACTTGTACGTTTGTTCATTAACGATATAATTCTCGTATAATCCATTTTACATTAAAATAAGTTTGTATAAAAAATAATAAAATCTTTCTCATTATCAATGTTTCCTTTTCTATAATCAATTTTATTAATGCAATAAAAATGTAATTTATAAAATTACCAGGGACATCATGAACGTCATATTCGGACATATCGTCTACGTCGTCAACATCGAGATTATTACGACCACATCGCATAATTAATTGAATACATCCAACTACAATCCTTTTTGATGATCTCCACATAATAAAACACAAACATTTTGAAAAATATTGTCAAAGAGATGGACGAAAAATGATTACATTATTCTACATGCATTCTTTATAAGCATGCGAAACTCTTATTCCAATGGTTAGAATTATTTGAATGAAAAAACGCGTTGAAGTTAGTCAAATAAACTAATAAATATTTCTTTATATCGAAATTATGACATAAAAATGATATAATCATCGTTAATATTATTGTGTATTAAAAATTTTCAAAACAATATTTCAAAGAAATAAGCGTAACCTTTACCAACTATTTCTATTTGGATGGCTTCAATTTAATAATTATAAAAAAAAATTTATTTTTATTAATTTTTCAATGATTGTCTTCAATGTAAGTGATTCACTTTTATCATTACATTATATTAATACATTTTTACTATTTTATTCTTAAAATATTTCTTTTGTAAAACTTGTTTGTTATTGAGTTTGTTTACATGCAAATTATGATATATATGGAATGATATAATACTTACATCACATACATATAAGATTGTAAAGTTGTACATCTCACTTATATTTAATCAAAGAATCAATTTTTATTTTTGTACTGGTTATGCTAGAAATAAAATTGTACTGCTTTTCTATATTAATACTATCAAATCTATAATTTTAATTGAAAATAATCGCAGTGCAAAAGATTTTATTAATCGCTCATATTTCTTATATCGTATGAAGGTAAGTATTTCCATTTTTTCTCAATTGTCCACAGGTAGAAAATACTTAAGAAATTTTAAACTACTATCGTCTGCCTCGTCCTCTTCCTCTACCTCCTCTACCACCTCTTGCACCACGACCACCACGGCCCCTTCCACGTGCTGCTCCTAATAAATAATGTTATATTTATTTTTATCTCATTTTGGTTCACATATAATTATATATTGTATTTAACTGTTACATACCTCTTGCAGCTTCTTTCTTTTTAGCTTTTGCTTTTGGTGTGTCGTCAATAAGTAATGTCTCCAATGCAAGAGATTCAGGTAGAATATAATACCGTATATTGTTCCCTCGTAAACTTAAAGTATCCAACTGTACAGGATCTCTATTCTTAATTATCATCTTTACTGTTTTTAAATGGGTATTCATTGCTACATCTACACCTATTGTAATAGAAATTAGCTTATTGAATCAAAATCATTTTATATTGAAAGTGAATCATTATATATATAATTTTATATTGAAGTGGATCATGATATATATAGATTATATATATTATTCTTATATATATTATTCTGTGTCTCAGAATAAATAGGAAATATTTTAAGAGTCGCTGCAATACATTAAAATAACAAAATAAGTACATATAAACATATTTTTTATTTGACTTTGTTCTTGAATTATAGCAAATTTTATTTTGCAATAATTCTTGTGTTAAATGACAATGTCATTGCATTTTAGCCAAATTTTTAGACAATTTCTAATCAATCGATTTTCAAACGAACCAATAGGTCATGGAGGTCTTATTGCTAGAAGATCATTGTGAACATCTCTTACAAAAATAAGTAAATAATCGGTTGAAAATTAAATTTACTATAACTCAAAAACAAAGTCAAAAAGGGCATATACTTATATGAACTATTTTTATTGTTTTGATATGCTTAAGTTACCTATAAAATATTTCCTGTCTATTCTAGGATACCCTGTACATTATCCTATGTATATTATCCTATCCTGTATATTATCCTACAAAATTAAAAATTATTTAAGATTAAGTAAAATTAGATATTAAAATTATACTTGAATATAAATAAAATAATTTATCTAAACTATATAATAAAATATAAAGATATTTCGCATTACACTTAAAAGATAACCTCTAACAGAGGTTATATTGACATACCTGTAATTGTACCATGTACTTGAGTTCCATTTTTTAATTCTATCGTTACAGTCTCATGACTGAGTTTCATCAAAAATCTACAACATAAAATGTAGTATAAGATATTTATTATTTGATTCTCAATATTTTCGAATCATTGAAGATTCTTTATAGGTTAAAGTTGTACGTATTTCAATGTAAAATACGCATATATAAAAAGGTATAATATATGTTCAAAAATTAAAAAAGAATAAAATCTTTATTATTATTATATATCGTACATACCTTACTAGCTTCATGATGTGGCCAGAATAATTATTTTATATCGTTTTGTATCAGAAAAATTAGTAATACCGGTATCATACCTCTTTCGTTTGTCTCTACATGAGATGCGCGGGACGCATCATAATGGTGTTCCAAAACGCAACCTTATTTAACCTACATTACTATTTGTACGAATGTTTTTAATCCGTATTTTAAAATAATATAATTATGAATTCAGTAATATTCCTTTCAATTTTTAATTTCTATAATTTTTGTTATTGTTATTTTTAAAACTTGAGTAAAAAAAAGCTTTTACTACGAAAAGAAATAAACGTATGAAATACGTACTTACGTCTATTTATGGATACAATACTTGTATATATATTCTTTTATACGGTTTTATAAATATAAAAATTTATAACTGTGATGAATATTATATTATACTATTATTGGCATTATCTTTTAATAAATATCATTTAACATTACTTATTTACAAACGTTTATATTTTTTTAGACATACAATTTCTTATCAAATTACTATACAAAATTCTGCTGCTTTTGCATTAATTAATTTTAAAATAGTTTTCATTCTTCCACTAGAACCTACGTCAAATGTTCTTGGAAATGGTGTTCCTTCTGGTCTTTTATAAATTCCTTGCATGCATTGTTCCCATTTTACTGGCGAGATAATTTGTTTTATTAACAGATTTTTTATACTTCTTGAATTTCTATATGGACGCCCAGAGTAGTTAGAATATACTTTAGTTCTTGGCTCTTCTAACGTTATTTCTCTCAATACTTCATGAAACTTTTTTATAGCTGGTAGCATAAGTGGTGTATGAAATGCTCCTGAAACTGGAAGTCTCCTTAATTTCTGTAGACCAACAACATTGGCATTTTTTTCTATATATTGTAATGCTTCTTCATTTCCAGCTATTATTTTACTCTGAGTATATAAAAAGACAGATACTTTGCATAATGGATCAGGAACTCCTAAATCTCTAGCCCAAGCTGTAGCATCTTGTAATATTTTTGACAATTTTATTTGTGGAGGACAATAGACAGATAACATTCCTTGAGATATTTTGTCAGAAGCCATTTGCATCATATTTCCCCTAACTGCCACTAATCTAATTCCATCTTCAAAGGAAATAGCCCCTGAAAAAATTAATGCACTCAACTCGCCCACACTATATCCAGCAGTGGCTATGCATGTTTCAAATACTTTTGGCCTGTCTTCACGGAGTTGTTCTAATGCAGCTAATGATGAAACAACTGTAGCTGGTTGATTAAACTTTGTTTGATCTAATTTTTCTTGTGGACCATTTAAACATATCTTTAAAAGATCATATTTTAATATTTCATTAGCTAGTTCAAATATATCTTTTGCTCCAGGAAAACGCAAATATTTCCGAACGGCACCAACTTTAAGTGTACCTTGTCCTGGAAAAAGTACTATTGATCTTTCTGTTGGGTCTACTTTAGGTATATCTATTTTCTTCTCTTCGACAGACGTTGGTGCATTCGCAGGATAAGGGTTTGTAGCCCAATTTTTATCGTTGGCATCGCTGTAAGTGGCAGCTTCTTTAAGGAGACGCTTAAGTTCTTCCTCATTAGAAGTATTGTTTGAATCATTGTATTTTTTTTCATTAGTTATTATCCCGTTATTTAAAATAATCTCTTGATCATTTGAAATTTTTTGAGAAAATTTATTAATACAATTGAAACGATATAAGCCTGATAGTTGTAAAAGAATCCTATCACAAAAAACTCGTTTAAACATCATGGACATTTTTAAAATAAACTCTTTACATATAAATTTTCATTTTAATATGTACTATTTGAAAATAATAACAAGGAAAACCACGTGTTCCACCAAATAGCGGCATTTATGCATACATAAACCAGGTTACTTTTATTTTTCATCGAATTCCCTCGCCATCTGGAATGTTTTAAAGGAACTTTTGGTTCAAACGCGCGCGCCACTCGAGTTGTTTGTTGCTTTTGCCAGAAAATTTGTAATCGTAGATAATTTCAAGCTTATAATAGATCAAATATTCGAACGAACATAACAAAAGCAACGAATTATTGGATATATTTCAATTTATACCCACTTCTTGGTTGATGTATTTATTAAAAATACATATATATATATGTATATATATGTAAAATAGAGATCTATGTTTCTACGTCTATAGTTTCTTTTATTCGAGCATAGAATTAAAGAGGAATGAATTCAAATCAACGGTACGTTTATTCCATTGAACGATGATTAACATATTTGAGATATTCAAAAAATAAAATTATTACGAATTGAAATGAAAGAAATTCAAAACAAAAATCTGTATTGTAACGAAATTGTAAAGAATATTAAATGGTATCCGAAGAATAGGAAAAAACCTGAAGGACTTAAAGATAGGAGTGGGCGAACGCCCACCAGGGTATGAATAAATTACTGGGAATAGCATCCTAGGAGGAAGCACAAAGAGGAAGGGGTAGTACCCCAAGGGAGTGGGAAACAACGGGCGTAGCGACGACCGTGGGAGTCGCGGCTCTACTTCCGAAGAAACAGCACCTTAAGGGATACCTTGTAACAATCAATTAGGTAAGGGTGACCTATTTTTTTCTTTACTCTTCTCTTCATCTTTTTTATACGCACACGATTCGCTCGTGTTATTATTTTTCATAACATTTACTAAAAGTTTGAAAATTTTCAAAAATTAAACGTTCTAACATTTATAAATGATTTATCAATTTATCGCGATAATTAACTATGAAATGAAAACAAGAATAAAATTGTTTAATGTCGATCTAAAGTTTTATTGGCGAATCTTGTGGGTAAAATAATTTATCCATCTTTTAAGAAATGGCAAGCTAATAATTAATTAATGCCTAAATGTTTCATTTGCTTCTTATGATTAACATAGTCCAGTAGTAGTGATTAGATTTATATTGCAATAGATGGATCTGTAATCGTCTAAATACGTCTAATACGTTAATTTTCGAGAAAGTGAAATCTTTTGCGGAAAGATATAGTTTAGATAATTTTGTAATCGATATCACTGTTTTTAAACGACGCTCTCGAGCTAAATCTGGCGGTCTTACGCAACGCACTAACGACAGCAGCGTAACACCATGAACACTGTATCTATTACTTCCAGATACAATTGAAATCGATCATGATTAAAAATTGTATAACAAATTTGATTATTGCATTAAAATAAATTATAGATTGCCTTTATATATAGGAAATAAACTTCATAATCAAAGTTATTTAAAAAGTTCCTTGTAATATAACCTTCCATTCTTTTATGATCATATCATTTACCGCATATTAATTTTATGAATCAGAAAATCCCAATATATGATGGAAATAAGCACTCTCAACGGAATCGTCCTACGATTCCCAAAGACCATTATATTTTTAACGGATTTGTAATAAAACAAAGTATATACAAAGTATACATAAATATTTAAGTGAGTCGTTGAAAGCTCTGACTCATAATCTAAAATAAAGTTAATATTACATTTTAGTACGGCATAATTTGTTATCGCGTAAAGTGTCTGGCATGTCATTGATCCGTATCACTAACGTGTCTTTCCGCAACGTGTCTCGTAAATCCCAATATTTCTTAATCATTCATTTTAAATTATGTAATTTAAGGATGCCCTAATAATGATACTCGCCAATTTTTGTTGTGTTAAAGAACGACTTCGTATTTCTATTGTTGAACAATTTCGTATTTCTATTTACGAAGGCAAGAGTTGTTGGATAGAACCTCGGAATATTTTTTGATATGGTATTAAAGTTTCAAATAAATTATCATTGTAACCTGATAATCATAATGATAATTTATATGATATATGTTCTTATAGTTATGATTTAACGTCCGAGATAAGTTTACTTCCTGTTTCCAATTTCTTTTTCTTTGAGTATCTCTTTTAATTTGACTCATGATTTCGATCGTATGTAAACACACGATCTCTATATCGTCACTCATAGTAAAATACCTAGCACGGACATGAAAGAAGGATTGAGCAACTAACTACTCCGTTCTAAATTACAAATACGTTTGGCGCATAAACGAGCCAAAGAAACGTAGAAGCCAATTAAGTCGAGTGAACGATCTAATCGGTGGATGCATTAATAGCTTCGATGTACAATACAAAATACCTGTATGAAGTTTTGGCGTTTGCTAATTATTCGGGACACTTCATTCGAAATTGCTCAAATGTCGATGTCATACGTATTTACGTATTTCGATTTATCTATATGCACACAGACGAATTATTTAAAACATTTTCTTTATAAATGAGTCATCGGTAACGAAACAAGAAAGATGACAATTAAGAAGAAATCATAGTCCAAGAAAATGTCATAATTGTATTTCTCTCTATATCTGTAGAACGCGGGCAAATATCCAGACTCGTAAATCAAATGAAAATAATAGGTCTAATTGGAAACGATTTGAAAGAGCGATCATGGAAATTGTTTTCAACGCCTCCTTCGTTTACCGAGTAAGATCGCACTTAGGAGAGACAGTTAATACGCCGAAACTATAGAATGAACTGTCGCAGCTGCTGCAGAATTGGCAGCTAGTCGGGTTCCGATTAAAATACGTTTTCGCGTTTACACTTTTAGGTTGTTTCGTAGAAATCGGTCAGTCAACAATAAAATATAAAACGTAGCGATGCTGTTCTCCAAAAATTTGCTCGTCGTTTCGAGTGCCCCTGAAGAAGACAAGGAAGAACGATTCTTCGGGATTTACACTGTTGGTACTCGGTCTCGGCTGTCCCGGGATCGCGTGTACCGTGCCAGTTCGGTTCACGGGCACCAAATTAGATGCGGTCTATTTTTGAGAGCAGCATATAGATAGTTGCTCGTTCCAGTTTACTGGTTCCTCACACTCGGAACCTCCTCCTCTCTTTCTCTCTCTTCCCCCCCTCTCCCCCCTCTCTCTTTTTCTTTCTCTTTCCTAACCGAACTTATCTTATTTTTTTTCCTCTCTGCTATTATCATATCATATCATTACCACCGCACCACCATTACCATCATCTTTTCCATCGTTCATTTTCATATCCTATGAAGACGCAGGAGTTTCTTGGATCTTTGCCGATTAAAGAGTACATGTGATACAAAAAGAAATAACTTATTTTCATTCTCCATATCATTTACTTTCACGTGATAACGAATCAAATTCAATTAATATATTAGAAAAAATATAAAATGAAACAAATCATAGGAATTTTTTATAATTAATCGATTATTTATTACAGAGAAAGAGAAAGGTGTGTCGCAGATATGTCGAGGCCAATACTTAGCAGGCCGCGTACGCGCGTTTACGGATGCAATTACGATAAGGGCGAGTCCTATTACAAGCCAATGGTTGACCACTTGGACAGGAAGTACTGTGCTCGACCCTTATTCTCCGAGCCAAGATCATCGGTAGCCGATGAAATCGCGGCCCGTCGAGGCGACATCGGTAACCTCTTCAGTCGTTTTCCCAAATGGTTTTGAGGAATGAAAGTACCCCCATGCCCTTTCTGAAATGTTGCCGAGGTGTTCAATAGATCCGTTGTAAATGATGAACAATTGAGATACTCTTATCCTGTCCCTTTTATCGTCCATATAGCATGTTTTTCTTGTCAAAGATAAACTCTCCTTCGTCACGATCGTTCGATATGTGCCGTTTGAGAAATTATTATCCAACATAGAATGTCATAGTATAATTTACAATATATTTTCAAATTTCAATGTGAAAAAATATTTCACATTTTAAGGGATTGAGTAACGCAATGATACCAAAAGAATCTTCATCTCTACCCTCTGTGTGTGTAGTTATTCTCTATGTTCGATTATTGTTCGTAATCATTGTATAATCTTTTGTCTGTCGAATAAACGTTTGCTTTTCTAAATATATGACTTTTTGCCGACGAAAGTCTAAGCCGCTTGTCACATAAAAGCTACATTGTGCGGCTGTAAAAGGAGAAAAAGAAAAAAAAATAAGTTACAGGTAAAAATTAATTCGTACTCGGTCGAGGAACAGCGTAAAAAACAGCGTAAAAAAAAGTATTTTCGATACTCTTCGAAAGTCATTCCGAGTCCAAATTACATCCCAGGGGAGAAGATAGGAATAGATAAATGTAAATAGGATAAATTCAATGAGTAGAGATTCCCTGGGACGAAAGAAACGAGCAGGCAAGCAGGATAAAGGAAGAATCGTTTGTAAATACATAGATGATAGATGTGAGTGCATTGACGTATAGTAGATAGGAAATTATAATGAATCACAAAATTGATCATATGCTCTTTGAAATTGAGTAAATACTTTTTTTTTTCAAATAAACTAAATATCCTACAAATGTTAATAAATCGCAAAAAAAAATTAATCTGCCGTACGAATTATGTCGAGAAATTATTAAAAAATGGAAATTGGTTTAATAGTAATAAAAAATATAAACTGTATAACGTTCAAAAACTGTTTCATTATAAATCCTGCTGTATTAATCAATATCATGTATATTATAAGTCTCGCATATAATTGATAAAAAAAAAAACGTCAAAATTGATAAATTCCAGAATTAGGTTTATAAATCACTACCATTGATATCTTTGATCTGCTATAGTTATAACGATATTTAAAAAATGCATATGTGACAGAACCTACATTCGATTTTTACAAAAGAATTTGATAAAAAAGAAATGATATAAAAAGCAGATTTCGCATTATTTAATAAATTCTCGACATAATTTCTTCAAGCACGTTAATTTTTTTCCCATGTATACACAATTATAGGAGACTTCGTTAATCAGTCTAGTGGAACATACGGTCAATTATGTGTATCACCATACGCATGTAGACGGTTAGGCCCGCGATGAGATGAAAAGTTCTGTCGGTTTTTACAGGCTCGCGAGACCTTTCCGGTCTTCGGAACGACTCCTTCGGGCGTGACCTTGACCTCGACCTCGACCCTCGTACCCGTGCCTCCCAAGTACTAGCACCCTTGACCAGCACCGAGTACAACCCTCTTCTACTCCCTGGTGACGAGGAGGAAACCCTCTACGATAGCCGTGGACAACGGACTCAACGCAAGTTCGCTGATGATTTTGCGAATGAGGTCGCCTCAACGACACGTCGTTTCAAGGCTAAAGTGGCAGCGATGGAACTCGATCAGGAAATGGACGCCGCACTCAATAAGAAAATCGAGGAGACTGACTCGACGTTTAGCAAGAAACGTTCAAAGCTTTTAGCTTCCATCGGCGATGAGATCGAGAAACAACCTTCCAGCTCTTTGACCAAATGGTCCAAGTTGATAAACGACAACGAGGAGGACTCGATGCTCTCTGGTGCGGCTGCTACTCGAGCCAGGCAAACGAAAGCACGTCTCGACGATCTAGAGACCGAGATGGAAGAGTTGGCCGAGAGACAAGCCAAGAGAGAACGCAGAGCTGCTGCTTTGAGGGCGCTCGTCAACGAGAGCATCGCTTCTTCTACTCCTCCTTCTCCTCCTCTTATTGACGAATATCAACGATCCTCTGCCGCCCTCAGTAGCAGCAGTAAAAAGATTTCCATGCGTAACGAACGCACCGAAAAACATGTCACCTTCTAGTTCTCTATTTCATGCTCTATTCATTGCGGTCACGATGTTCTTCTTGCCTCACCTCTCCCGCTAAAACTTTCCCACTTTACGATACAATATTTTAGTCGATTCTCTTTATTTTACATTGCTCAAAATCGTCTTTAATATTAATTAACACTTTTTATTATCACATTTCTTTTAATAATTTACAGGATACAGGTAGTAGTTTTCCCTTTTTTTTTTTCATTCATCTCAATTATTCGACTTATCTCAAACAAAAGAACGGTTTAATTGTTTTTTATTTTAATTAAGTGACTATAAATAAAAGGATTGTGCTCTATACGTAGCCAATCATGAGTTATCTATAACAAAAAAACTATCATTTTATTACGTCACCAAAAGATCATTGTGACCATCATTCTCATAATCTTCATTCTACTTAAGTAATATTTCACGAAATTTTATTGTTTCTGCGGGAATACACTTCTACGTAAAAAAAAAAGACTATTAAATCGACTATATATGTATGTACTTTAGAATATATTGCAGTACATAGTAAGTGTTCTTGTAAGGTTTAAACGTTAAGAAAGGAACTACTTCTATGTCCGCACGCTACTGTATATATCTTCTTTCTTTCTCGTTTACCAATAAATTTTGTTGTAAAACTTGAGAAACATCATGTACTACCTTTATTGATATCGTGTTGTCTTTATTGTTGTATTACCTTGTCACGCTTTGTAATTTGTAGTTCTCAGGCATGTACATCCAATTCTTTTTTTCTTGCATGTTACTATAATAAAATTCAATGAATTTTTACTTGCAAAATGATATATGTAACAACGTAATAAAATCTAATGACAAGATTGGATTTTATCTGTTACTAAATACAACCAAGATATAATGTGGACTCGTTTAACGATACACAAAAATAGATAATATATACAGGATGGCCAACGTAAAACATTACGAACTGTTTTCATCGCAACAGTTAAATATATCTACTTAAAATTAATTTTCTCCACATTATTAACTTACATGATTAAATGGAATGAAATATAAATTATTCTTTATTTCAATAATTCTTACTAAACCTAATAATATTGTTTTAAAATATCCTCTTATTTAACAAAAATAAAAATAATATCGTTGTAATACTTTACATGAGTCATCCTGGTTGTGTAATGTAACACATTTTACAGGCATTTAACTTCATTTAGCATTTTATCCTTATTACTAGCTAACACCTTCCCACTAACATTTCAGGCTCCCGAAACTTATCGGGAAATCGTGGAGATAATTACGACGATTTGGACTATATTTTCGACGGACGTGGCAGAGCACTTCCGGAGGACGATTTCGAAGATGATTTTGTTTTGAATCAACGCCGGTACAAAGAACGTGCCGCGGCTGCCTTCGAGGAAGATTTGGCCGAATTGAGACGCAAGAGAAGAGACATGCAGGTTCACTTCTTTTGAGAGGGTACTCTGGTTCAGGGAATAATTTTTTTCGATGATAGCTAGAAATTTATTTATTTTTTTTTTGTTTCTTTTTTAATTCTACTTTCAATTCTACATACTTATTTTTTAAAGTTCCATTTTATTAAACGTCTTTTTAAAAATATCTATTTATTTTGCAGTAGTTACAAAATATTAATTGCCATACACGCATTCATACGTTGCATTAAAAAATATTTTCTCTGACAGATGGTTGCTATGATTTATCTTTTTCTATTTTTATCCGACATCTGCGAAAAGGAAAACATAATTTAAACGAAAAAAAAAGAAAAAAAAACATTGATTTGGTACAGTTGCAATACAGTGATAATAAACTTACAGCATTCACCTTTTATCAGTCATAAGAAACAAAAATAAATTGTTATTAGTCTGAATATAAAAAGAAAAAAAAATACACGAATAGATTGTTGTATAAATATTTGGAACTTGTGGATTTTTACGTACTTTTCTATCTCTATACTATTTTTACTTCCGACGTTCACAAAACGTGATCAATTTGTCGAGTTTCGTCTCTTAATTTTTTCAACAGTTAAGATAGATTTTTTTGATCTTGTAAATTAGAATACTCTCGATTTTGGACAAAATCAATTTTTTGATCCTGTAAACCAAAATACCCTCTTAATGCGTGCAAAACGAACGGATTTATTATCTACACGGATTTATTATGCACTTTTAAATCGTTCTTATAGACTGGAATTTTCGAAGAATTTCCAGCGATCTACGAGTATATATATCTATAATCGATTCATTTTTTAATATTTACAACTTTATTTACTTTCAGGACCGTATTTTCGACGTAATCGATTTGAACGCCGAAATTGAGAAGGCCAAAAACACGTTAGAAGCCGCCGACAATGCTTTCCAAAAACACGCAACTAAATTCGATAATAACGAGGACGATCAAGACAACATAACTCTAACACAGAAACTCGATAGATCACGAAAATTGGCTAATATGGAACTCGTACCAGAAAAATCTAAAGCCAAACCACAAATTATATTACAATGGGCAAGAATGCAAAACGTAGAACCGGAAATAACAACGGTTCGAGCTTCCAAAGGAAGAGCTCGATTTAATTCTTTGGCCGATGCTAATGAATTTATTGAAGATCCATTAGATGTTCTTGCCATGCAGCCGATAAAAAGAAAGTTTCTGAAAAGGAAGAAGAGCGTCTCCTTTTAAAAAACTTTATTCGTAATCGCGATTGGATCGGACTGAATTTGTTGTTTGATATAACCCTTTTCAAATGTGTATTTTAATTGAAACTGTATATACATATATATATATATATATACTATACCTATTAACATCGAAATTGGTGATTATAAAATGGCTACTTTACACCGTGATACGAATATATATGTATAATAAAATTTAAAATTATTATTATTATTTTCTGATGTAATTGATTCCATTGTGTATAAAAGAGAACCATATCCATTCGTACCTAAATTCGCATTATACGCGCGTATATGATGATACTTATTCTACTAAAAGTACATAATTCTTAAAACTCAAGGAGGATGAAAGTAAAGGGAATGAAAAAGTAATTTATAAATTTCGTTAAGTAAAAGTGCACGTGTATTCTATAATACCGATTTATAACAGTAATACATATACAATAGGCATAGTACACGAGCACGTCATAGCTATATCATAAAATTGATGACAAATAAATAATCAAACGAAACAAATAAAACGAGTACGCGTTTAAATTTATGACGATTGATTTGTTGATGGGATAAGATATCGACGTTTTATGCGAATGTTTGTCCCTATTTATGAAAAATATATATCTACGAAGATAAATGAATCGCGTATGAAATCGAATCGAATTTATCTAGAAATGAAATTATCGATACATTAGACGGTAAGTGCTACTCGATAGATGAATTTGGCCAGAGGTAAACCGTTATCTTTTCCCTCGTTTAATGAAAGATCCAAAATAAATATCTACAACGACTACAATTTATTTTTAAAATACAACATCCTCATTTCTAAGATGATGTTATATACGACGTATAGGTAAGCCGATTAAAAAAATGATTAGTTTACCACTGGCATTATCGGTAATAGCAATATCGACGAAGAATAGTGTAAGATCGTTAATCGTCAATCTTCGCCGATCATTCTCCGTCAAAAATGATAACTCAAAGAATTCTCTGATACTTCAAGCTATAATATGCTCGCGTATGATAGCTATAATGTCTTGGCGTAACTATCATTTTAGTGATGTATTTCATATCGGCAGATCTCTTAGTACTCTTATCAAGGTTCTTCTGATCGTACGTCCTCATGGTCCTTTCTGCCCATTCTTGTGCTCTTGGAGGCTCACGATACAAACCCTTTTGTCTTTGATCGAGATAGTCGATTACATCGTCGTAATAATTCTTCCTACGAGACAATCACAATTTCTAATTCATTTGTTTGTTTTTTTTATATGTGATTTGATTTCACCTCGTTTGCACTTACGTTTTAATTATCTTTGCTTACCTGTAATCATAAAGATAGTCATAATTGAGAAATAATGGGCGCACCCAATGATGATTGTACTTTGGAGGTTCGATCTTCTCGAGCTTTACTTTTGGTAGTTCACCGGGTGCACCCCCTTCAGCTCCCCCTTCCTTGGCCCCTTCTTGGTCTCCTGTTTCTTCGGGAGCCGTTTCTTCGATATCCCACGGAGCTGGTTCATCGTCCCACATCCTTCTTTTTCTTCTTCTTCTTTTTCTTCAATTCTCTTTAGAAAGCCTGCAAAGTCGTTGCGATCGATCGAAAGTACACAAGCTTTATGTAACCCCTTTCCTTTTCTCTTAATTAAAAGACACGACAGATATAAGACTCGATTTCTTCGTTTCTCGATCGCTCAACGTGATAGCATCAACTTCGATCCTAATTGTTATATTTAGATAAGAGAAGTATATTTGTCTCGTGAAAAAAAAAAAATAGGCCACGTTAAAACAGAACAAATCGTTCGACTATCGTATCAATCGATCTTCCTTGTCCAATGGTACGTATTGTGATAATAATATATTTCATGCACGCGAAAATGGAAAGAAATTGTAAAAGAAAAGAAAAAAGAACAAAAAATAAAGAAAAAATTTATTACACTATGGGATATTCACTACTCTTTGTTCATACGATTCGTCAACAAATTTTCAAGTCGCAATAAATCGATTTTAAACCGAGAAAAAAAGATATTCCCTAAGAAGAAATTTATTTTAAAAGAGCGAAATAAGAAGGAGAAAAAGAGAACAAAAAGGAATGATATACCTTTGCTACGACGCTCGCTCTACGAAGCACCTACACAGACTGCAAAAAAAACTACCCTCTCGTCTTTGAAGCTTCGCCACTCGCGGGGACCTTGCCTTCTTTCTTGCTTTTATTTTCGCTTATAACATTTTCTTGTGTACCCCTACCTCTCGGGGCTCGTGTCCCTTCGATTTCGAAGTTGGTGGGGGAATGTTTGGCACGAGCAATGCAAAGTGAATTGTTGTTTCTTGCTTCTTGTACCTACATACGATCGTCCCTTTCTATACGCGCCTATGCCTGCAGTTCTTGCAAGTTCGCTACTTTGTCCTCGCGCTAATTTTTTCTCTCTCTTTTTCTTTCTCTCTCTCTCTCTCTCTTTCTCTCTCTCTTTCTTTCTCTCTCTCTCTTTCTTTCTTTATCTATCTATCTTTCTCTCTTTAATTATTTTTCTGTCTTCATCTTTTTGTGTAAATCAAACTTAAAAAAAAAGACTCCCAGAATATCACTTCCCTTCTTTTAAAAAATACATGAACTAACCTCAAATAAATATCTCTTTTGAATCTCCCAGAAATTCCGCCATTTACGAGAAATTTATATCGATTTATATCGATTTCTCGCGTAGTTCATTTGAACGACAATCTTCTCGTTTACCTTCGAAAGCAATTTAAATCAGCATACATAATATATATATATATATGTATATATATATATATTTATATACGCAATACACACACACACACATATAATCTGTACATATATATTTTGGCAAGAATATCACGTAAAATCGAGAAAATCCTTGTATCTTGTAATACATATGGACAGAATATTTCGATTTGGCGAGAATTTCGTTGTTAAATTTTCGATATTGGCGCAAGGTCATCGTTAATTGTAGTTGATCGTCAAAGTATTTTCGATTAATATATTACGGATTACGTCACTTGCTTCGTATAACGTCATTGTTGATTCTTAAACGAATGAAATTGTAAAACTTAATTTTCATATAATCGATTAAAATTTTCTAAGTTATACAAACAATTTATTAAATACGTATCTATAGATATATGTATTTCTTGTATGATATTTTTATTTTTAGATTAATCGCAATAGATATATATCAATCGCGATGCATACATCTAGACCATGCATCATTGTTTCGAAACTATATCATTGACACGGTATCCTGCTTTACTTACTATAAATCACGTGTATCGTCGACATGTATTACGATATTATCTTATCGGACACCATAATATTTAAATAACGATATATACGGAACAAATGTATATAATAGTAAAGAATAGTAATATTTTATAAATCTTGTAATTTTGTGCCCGCAAAAAAATCTCCTTCCCTTAAAATCGTTTACTTTTTTCGTACATTTTACTGACAGGATAAAAATGAATTAATAAGCAATATTTCATCATCGAGTTTTTTTTTTCTTTTTTATAAATTAAGGATGTATGTAAAGACAGATGTTTAAGAAAATGCCAAAGAAATGTAAAATTTCTTTAATCCATTTTAACGTGATATCTTATGGCTACACTTGTAGCCATGTTGTTGCCATGGAAACGACTATGTAGTATAAACAAAATTATAAAACGCAATCAAAGAATGCATTATTTCGACAATAATCGTATTATTTTATGTTTTGTAGTTTTTATTTTAACAATTGATGAAACGATTAGTATGAATAATGATGTTCTTGAATTATCACGGCCAAGTTCGTGTAAAAATGATGAATATTTTGATACAAAATATTTTTCTTGTCGCAAATGTAATATCTTCAAATTTCTTGAGCCCAGCACTGATCGTAAGTCCTAATCTAACATAATTTCTAATTTATGAATATACAATATATATATATATATGTGTGTGTGTGTGTGTGTATGTATGTATTTATTTGTATTTTTATCTTAACATTGTTTAACAATTTTTTAACGATTTTTATAGATTTACGATGCGTTTGTAATAAATTTAGCAAAACAATTGGTTTTAAAAATGGTAATCCCATTTGTACAAAATGTGATCAGAATCAAACTGTAACTATCGATGGCAAGGACTGTATTGTTTGCAAAAATAACACCTGCAAATGTCTATCCAATGAAATACTAAGTACTTTTTATAAGAATACATATCTACATATATACTTAATATACTTGTACATAAATTAATGCAAATTGTATTTTAAATTTGCTTTTTATAGTAGAAAGAAATTGGAATGGTACATTATTAAATAGTATAAAATGTCTTCCATGTCCAAAAGATACATATCCATCTAAAGAAAACTCTAAATGTTTGCCATGTAATAACTTGGATAATAGAAATCAAGCAAACTGTATTTGTCCAATGAAATCGCATGTTAGAATACATGGATATTGTTTAAACAAAGACAATCTTTCAGATTGGCCAGATGTTAAAAGTACTTACACGATAAAGTTTCAAAATGAGAACGTAGATAGTTATTACCTTAGAACCGAATTACAAGCAGCAATGTACTTTTGTAAAGTAAGTAGAAAATTTAGCTTACATAATTTTAAAAGTTATAAATCAATTAATATGATTTTTCAGAATAAAAACAAGATGTCTTGTGAACATTTATCACATATATGTGTTTTATCTTTATATGTAAACAGCGTACAATGTACATTATTTATGCAAACGCACATGGCACCAGTTAAACTATTTTACAATAAAGACGAAACATCATTAGTATTAAATGCCAAAAATATCACACAAATATATAGTTTGAAAAAGAATGATGATGTATGCAAATTTTTTATAACATCTATTTTGTCAAAATCAATTATTTTTCCGTAAAATTGAAACATTTTTTGTTTTAGAATAATACATTGAATTTTACAATGGCAACATTTTCTTTAGAAGGCAAATTACTTGAAATAGATAGTCCAAACATGCCTTGTCATTTCCTTACAAACGTTAGATTTGGAGTTAATCTTAATAAAAAATGTATAATCACTGTAAAGGATCTGCTAAATATGGAAGTAAAATTTATACAACTCTACTTAACATTTAAAGAGGAAGAAAAAGTTCTTTCACATGCAGTACCTATTTATATCAAAAAAGAATATGAGGTAAAAGATATATTTACATCAAATCAAGTATAGTATCTAAATATCAATATATATATAATAATCACATAAAGTGTGGGACTTGTTTCAGTCTTATCTATGTTTCAGAATGATTACGATATTTCGGAGACCCAACTTGTCAGGAAATTCTTTTTGGTGGACAATATAAGTGGTATTAAAGCATTGCCAAATTTTCTAACTGGTACATTTCTAAAAAAATCTAACTTGTCGGTACTTCGTTATATGAAATCATTTACTATCTTGTAAGTTACATCTTTTTAATATTATTCATATACATTCTTATGTAATATTACATGCAATGACTTTATTTGACTAGAATAAATATTCAAAGCGGTAAAGCTCGTGGAAAAATTTATCCGCCCATAGTAATTATAGAATATGGAGAATTAATGGAGCAACAAATTTCTAAAAATGTAGAAGTTACAATAAATTATAAAGTAACATTTGCTTTAAAGGAAAATCATATAAATTCTAATATTCAGGTAAATATTATTAATTCTCTGAAATTTCAATGTTTTTTAGTTTTAATCATGATTTATATAGATGTTAAAATAATTTTTAGATATTTATTGGTATTTTATCAAGCATAGCAATTATCAATTCGGCATTGAAAACTTGGACATATTGTAAAAAAAATTATGATTGTACTCCTAATGCAACTATTTCATTATGGTTTCTTATATATGTAATGGGTGCTATAGGAAACAGTCTTATTATTGCATTAATCAGTGTGTGCATATATTTATTTATATTTTTTAAAGGGCAAACGATCCCATATACTTTACTTCCAAACATATCTGATGAAAAAAATATACAGATATTCACTATAATTGGATTTTGTCTAAAAGTAAGTTCATGTTATACAATATTATATAAACATAATTCTAAAGATGGATTTAGTACACAAGATAATAAAAAAGAAATCATAATAATATAATTCATTATTTATTGTTTCTTATTTCCAAATCATTTCATTTTACAGATTGTAGAAATTATGGGATTCATTTATCAACATTGGGACATACATATCTTTTTCATCGATTGGGAACAACCAAAATTAACACATAATTCATCAAAGTACGATTCTCCTTATACTTCATTTCGAAAATTGTACACTAATATATTAATTGACGGTAAAGACGAGAATCCAAAAACTCCATCTGAAATTATTGCAGCTAAGAGGAATAAAACATTTAATAGAACAAACAAAAAAAATGCACATAGCCAAATTTTCAAACCTATAGAACAAGAAGAACTTCAAGTAACATATTCTATATCAAAATCTTCAATACAAGAAGAAAATAATACTCAGTTATCAGTTAGCATATGGAGAACATATCTTGTTGCTAATGAATGGTTAAAATTATTAACAAAACGGAAGATAAATATATCATTACAAATAATTAGTACTTTGCTTGTTTTAGAGGTAATTTAACTTAAATATTAAATATAATATAACTTATTCTTATATTCATTAAAAATATTATTAAATACTGATAAATTTTTATCACAATAGGTCATAGGTGTAAAATATTGGAGCCTAGCTATACCAGAAATAACGTTTAATAAATATACTGATGTGAGAATAAATTTTTCACTGCAATATGCTGTTTGTGCTATAGTATATATTACAATTTATTTTATTCAGTACTTAACATCCATTATATTTTATGAAAGATTTATAAAAGATCAAATGCAGCAATTTATTGATTTATGTTCAATTGCTAATATCAGTGTATTTATCTTAGAGTATAATTATTATGGATTTTATATCCATGGAAGGTAATAAACATTATTTTAATAAACACTAAATATTGATAGTATCTGTTTTATTTAATTCTATTTCATAGATCAGTTCATGGATTTTCTGATACAGATTTATTTACTTTAATAAACAATTTAAAGAATGAAGAGAATCAACTATGTGCACATAGAGGTCTTGTTCCTGGTACAATAGAGCAAAACTTTATAATATCAGTTACACAAACATTCAGAACATTCTATGAAAAATTTTATACTGAGAAGAATTTTGTAAATTCTTCGCAATCATCAATACCCGTGAATATTATTACTTATAATATTTCCATATATATATATATATGAAAAGGTAAATTATTCTTTAAAAAATATCTAACCATTTTATTAATGAACATTTTTAGATAACCAATAGATTTTTGAAAAAGAATATTTATACTTCTATGGATTGGAATCAGATTTGTAATACACGTGTAAAATTGAACCAATTTTTATGCGAATTTCTGGATCATTGTTTCAAAAATGAAGATTACATTATCAAAGAACAAAACTTAATTGAAAAACTTTGTGACATTCTCTATACAAACACTAATAAAACATCTGTATTCTATATTGGTAAGATAACAGTAATTATAGATTCGTAATATTATTATTAAAAATAATTTGTTATATAATTTTATTTCAGATAATGATTATTCATTTAGTCAAGTAATACTTTACGGGAATGAATGGTTGATGGGTACATTTGAAATTACAATATTTCTTTTTGTGTTGACTTTATATGATAACTATGTATTAGCTGCTGCTATTACATTTATACTCTCACAATTATTCATTGTAATTATTAAATACAGTGGAAGAAAAAATTTAAGCAGTAAAACCTTATTAGATGAAAGATTTTTAATGTAATAGATTATGATAGACTAACAGTCAATATAACTTATAAGATATAGCTTTTTTTTACTATATTAAAATACTAAAGTATATAATGCATACATAGCTTCTTTTTTTATAAATAACATTTTATTTACTTACGCAAAAAATAAATAAAGAGAAATAATTATTTACAAAACGAATATTTACCGAAACATTTATTTATATTATTTATTTTTGTATTTCTACACTTGTAGTACCGCTTAGTGGTCTAGCAACTATTGCATTTCATATATATAATTATATTAATGATGATCACCATGACCATGATCATCTTTTTTATTCATTGCCAACAGTTGTTCAATTCCTATAGTTATTAAAAATGCTGGAATACCAAGCTTCCATCCTCTGAAGCAAAACATCATTGTACGTTGTGCTTTTGTTTTATAATTAGGATGATAACGCCATGCCTCATTTCTTAACCAAGGATCTTTTAAACCTTCCTTTGTTAAACGTTCTTGAAATTTTACTAACATTGGAAATTTTTCTATTTTATAAGAGTCAGGAGAAGGTATTTTAATAGTCTCATGTTCGTGTCCATGGCCACCCATATTAGATTCTATAATTTTCTGTAAAAAAGAAAAATATAAAAAAAGAAACATTTACTTATAAAGACAATACATATATCCTCACAAACGTTTATTACGTGAGTCTAATAAAAAATATTTTATATGTTCATCCAATATTTATAATTGAGCAAAGGTTAGATTTTTATTTCATTTTAATTCTGACAATTATATAAACGAGAAGTTTTTTATAAATATTCTTATCAACTACTAAAAGTTAGCTGGAATGTTAATAAAATCAAATTATATAACTTGCCTTTTCTTTCCGTTAAATAACTTTAGTATTGAAAGAATCATTAACTTTTCCAAACACTTGATAGTTCACGACCATTCGGGATATCCGTGAACATAACGGAATGATTTTTAGAACGCTTTACAATTGTAATAATCTTATTTAAAGATAAAAGATAAGTTATACATAAAAGATAAGGTAACATTATATTTGTTCGATTTTGTAAATTTTAGAAATATAAACATCATTAATTTTATTTTGATAATAATATAAAATATGAGAATATTTTTACTTTAGCATTTATTCGTCTATGGAATAAGAGTTTCTCTTAGATTCATTTTTTGTTTATGGCTTTCTTTAAAATTTATTACAAATACAAATACGCATATATTATAAAAAAAATTTAATATATCTATATATCTATAAGATATCTATATAATTAATAAAGAGATATAGCAAATTATTATAAAATAATATAATATAAAAAATAAATTTATAACGTACATTTACACGAAATTACACGTTGATAAAAAATATCAAAAAAAGAAAAATATGTTTTTTTGTAATATATTTTGTGTTTATATTATACATAATATATTTTGTATGAAACAAACATGATGTAAATAACAATTTTTGTAATTACCTAAAAGATAAAAAATTTTAGAAAAACATGATAAATATAAAAATAAAGTAGGTTCAAAAATATTTACCATTTTTGAGTAAAGGGACCTTAATAATAGAAAATAGTAATCCGTAAACAAATAGTAAACAAATAGTGAAAAGATGAGTCAGAGAGATATCTAAGGAAAATAAAAGAACAATAAAGCGATAAAATGATGAAAAGGAATAATAAGTTTTTCAAATAGGTTTAACTAAGGAAAATAAGGGAATAACAAAAAAGAAAAATAAACTCGTTTGGATGTCGCTACGTGCGTAGTTCTTGCTAGCCTCAGCACTTACATTCGCGTTTCCCATCTGTCGCGTTCGAGGCAAAATTTCAAATAAAGCCTTTCGATTGGAGGAAGACGAGTCGTTTTTCCTGCCCTCTCCATATGAAAAATCTTTCGAGTTGACGTCGAATGGCGACGTAACGGGTTAAATAGCTCAGTTTTATCGGCAGATAGTTTAGTCGGCTCTCGTAAAGGAGGAAAAGATGCCCGATATACGTGTAATCTAAGTGGCTACGTTATAATTAAATGAATGTGCAGCAGCTTCAAAGAATGTGACTGAAAAGAAAAGGCTAGTGTGTACGTTATATTTCGTGGTGTACAGAAGATGTTTCATCACGAGTACGAGAAGCGACTGTTAAAGTCGAGTAGCGAGAGCCACATAGATAATCTCGCGACTCCTGCCCATTATACGCCTATATATTTTTCGCCAACAAAAATGACAAACAATAGTTTTGATCGATTTATACCGACGAGGTCGGGTAACAACTGGCAGACAACTTTTTCGATGATTTCTGAAAGCGGCCGAAGTGGTCTTGCGACAAAGAAGACCCGTGAAAATGGTGAAGGGAGTCGAGACGGTATAGCTTATTCGTGTCTTCTGAAAAATGAGCTTCTAGGTGCTAGCATAGAAGATGTGAAGGGTCAGTGCGAGGAACGAAGAATACTATCTCCTCTCATGTCGAAAAATTTATTTAAATTTACTACACCCACGAAAGATCATACCCTTTTGGATCAAAGCTCGCCTTACTCTCTTTCTCCTTTAAGTGCTAAAAGTCAAAAGTTATTACGGTCTCCAAGGAAAGCAACTAGAAAAATTTCAAGAATACCTTTTAAAGTACTCGATGCTCCAGAATTGCAAGACGATTTTTATTTGAACTTGGTGGATTGGTCCTCACAAAATGTCCTTAGCGTTGGCTTAGGCAGTTGTGTGTACTTGTGGTCTGCTTGCACCAGTCAAGTAACTAGATTATGTGACTTATCCAGCGATGGTAATAGCGTTACCTCTGTAGCCTGGAATGAAAGAGGAAATTTAGTTGCAGTAGGAACGCATTTAGGATACATTCAAGTATGGGATGTGGCTGTAAACAAGCAAGTAAGCAAATTACATGGTCACAGTGCCAGAGTCGGTGCTTTGGCATGGAATGGAGAGGTTCTGTCTTCTGGTAGTAGAGACAGATTGATATTGCAAAGAGATGTACGAACTCCTTGTGTCGTGAGTGAACGACGTTTGGGAGCTCACAGACAAGAAGTCTGTGGTTTAAAATGGTCTCCAGATAATCAGTACTTGGCCTCTGGTGGAAATGACAATCGTCTTTATGTTTGGAATTTGCATTCCTTATCACCAATACAAACCTATACGGAACATTTGGCTGCTGTTAAGGCGATCGCGTGGTCTCCTCATCACCATGGCTTACTAGCTTCAGGTGGTGGTACAGCAGATAGATGTATCAGATTTTGGAATACATTAACTGGTCAACCTATGCAATGTATTGATACTGGATCTCAAGTTTGTAACTTGGCTTGGAGTAAGCATAGTTCAGAACTAGTCAGTACACATGGCTATTCCCAAAATCAAATATTAGTTTGGAAGTATCCAAGTTTAACACAAGTTGCAAAATTAACAGGACATTCTTATAGAGTTTTATATTTAGCCATGTCACCTGATGGTGAAGCTATTGTAACAGGTGCTGGAGATGAAACTCTTCGTTTTTGGAATGTGTTCAGTAAAGCACGCAGTCAGAAAGAAAATAAGTCTGTACTAAATTTATTCACAAGCATTCGGTAAATTTAAATTTGGTAAATTATCACAAAAATTTATTATTTTATGTATTGTACATACATATATTGCATATACGATTATAGTATTCTAAAAGAATCATGATATATAAAACATATATAGTCATAGACTATAAATATTTAGGTTTGTAGATAAGACTATTCAGCTGGTGGTTGTAGTATAAGTTCATAAATGCACAGCCTGCAATAAAATGAGTCTTGTGTGCAATATGTCACTACTTTGGTAGGGACTAGGAAGTATGCCCTTATAAGGAAATATGCACGAATTTTTTTGTCTTTTTGTTTACTTTTTTGTCTTTTGTCTACTTCATACAAAACAATTTTTTTTTATAGATGTGCTATATTCCATCATTGTATCAATATTAATTATATTTTTCTTTTTTTTATTGAACTTATTTCTTATTCCTTTTTTTTTCCTTTTTTTTTTCTTTTAATATATACTGTACTAAATATGTAATTATTGCTCATTGCTTAATAACATTCTGATTCATCAGAATATTTTAACAATATAATAAATATTTTCCGATTTTTACCAATCACATAAATAACGATTGTAATTCTCAGGCAATTGTATTATTGTCCAGAAGAATTCCTTTGAAGGGTGTATTAATATTTTCATAATTTTTCAAAATATGTGCTGTGTCTGCTCAGATATTTGCAGGCTGATCGGTCAGACCATTAAAGTATATATATATATATATTCTAAAAAAACTCTTTTTTTCTTTATTGCCACAAATACACTTTGATTTCTTATTGATTATTAATAAATAACTGTGTCATATAAATCAAATATTACATACACTTTACTTTCTTAAATCATTTATAGTAACTTATGCTTTACAATCAGCAAGTTGTACAAATTTGAGTGGAAATGCGACTTATAAAATAAATTACTAATTTATAATATTACAAGAAAATAATATATTGTAATAACATGTTTATCTCTGCATTCAGAGGAGATCGAAAGTGGAAATATACATAGAAAATATAGGAAATATTACAACAAAAGAAATCTAAAATCTTATATTATCTTGTTAAGTCAAAAACTCATGTCTGCAATTAAGTTTATGGATATTATTTATAGACATTAAAAAACAAAAGAGTATATCATTTAAATAATTCTGGATTACCATATCTCTATAAAAAAATCTTTTTTATTAAATAACTTTCTTTTGTTAAGATAACATATTTTTTGTACACATTTTTCATATATAAAAGTGTTACTTAAATTTATTTAAAATTTGAGTGATATAATATTAATATTACAGACATGAATTTTTTCTAGTAAAGGGTAAATGGGAAATAATATGTATACTCTATTTTTTAATACACTACTTTATCCCAGAAACTATAAGATGCATGTAGAAAATCAATAAAATAAATTTTGAAATCACAATTGTAAGTTTGGCGGCTTATATTTTTTATTATAGCATAAACAAGAGGATTTTATTCATATAGTATATATGAAAATGTATACAAAATTTGATTTCTTATATGTAATTTGAAATAATAATTTATAATAAAATTAAACATTACAACTTTATGCTTCTTCTAACATTGAACTTTGCATGTGGAGTTCAAAATATTCAGCAAAATAGAGCAGTATATATGTATTTGCACTGCAATCTGCATGCTTACAGATAAGTAGATGCTTGCATTGTTCTTTACATTTTATATTACATATCAATATGTTGATATTTTGATAATATAAAATTTAATACCATTATGGAAAATTATATGCAATAATATGCAATTTATTTTATAAAGTACATAATTTGTTTCTCTTAGTATCCCAAAACATGTTATTAATCTTTTAAATATTGTGCTCTTAAAATCTATAATCCATAACTAATAATTGGATAAAAATATAATTGTTTAATCTTGTTCAGAATAAAAAGTTGCAGCATATAATGCACATAATTCAACATATTTTAAAAATAAGCATAAGTAATTTGATATATACCTATATATATATAGACTTATACATTTTTCTAGTTTACAACATAAAATATTAATATTTCAAAATTATATTGTTTCTTTATACCAGTAATCATAAACTATCTCAATTTCTGCCAAGCATAAGATGATCTATTTTTTATATAAAATTAAATTTGCTACAAATTCATATAACCATAATATGCATATAATGAATTTAAGAAATCTTTATATATTCATTTTCTTTATTATAATAATTTCATTTGTATATATCTTTACTTATCCTAGATTGCAATACTCACATTCCTATCAATAGATCAAATATATATATATATATATATATATATATATTTTATCTATTATATATATATATATTATATCTATCTTACTATACATACATTTTTGGTTATGTATATTTTTAAACAGACATATACACATAAAAATCATAAACAAATATGAAATTTCTATGCATCCATTTGTAGAAATTTAGTATCACTAATAAGTAATCATTTAAAGTATTTAGAATTTAATAGCTGTATTTATAAACTTGAACATTGCACAAAGCAATGTTATCTCAGATTCTTAATAAGATTTGAGAATTCAATTTACCTGATCATAAAGTGTTGAAGAATAAAAAAAATATGTAATCAATTTGCTATAATAATTTTTTTATAACAGAGAAAAAGATTAAGGGGAAATTATATTTTTAATGATAGATTATTATTTTAGCCTATATAAAAACAATTATATCTACAAGTTATATGTATCAATTTTATATACATTAAAATGTAAAATAATACTTACTGTTCAAGTGTGTGCATATGAATCTTGATTATAACTTTTTCAATCATTCTAATAATGTTTAAAACAATTAAATTTTATGACAACTAAATAATTATAATAATAATCAGCTATGATTTACATGGTATAAAACACTATTACAAAAAAAAACACATGTAATATATATGGAACATATAAATACATTTATTAGATAAATGTGAACATAATAAAAAAATGTGTGTATCTGTTTTGGAAAATATTTCTATTTTGATAGAATACGTATACATAGAAAGGTTCTGGTAGGTATGCATATAGAATGCTTCAATAATTCTTCATAATTCCAAGCGTTTCATTTTTTAGTGTATTAGCATTCAAATCTAACAATTATAATAATATGCAATTCTTTGATGACAATATATCTATAACCTATGTTCATCGATAAACTAAAGATTGTTATATTTACTTAACATAATAAATAAAAACTGTTTAAATCATTAATAACTGTAAAAAATATTTGTGTCTTGCCAAATATTTGGTAATAAAACTAAGTTATGTTATTTTGCAATAATGTAAGCAATCCATACACCAATTTACAATAAAGTACAAAATACATTTGTATAAGTTTATTAAGTGATTATATAATGATTTCTGAGAATATCTTTTTTATTGTTCTATATAACGTTTTGTACTTTTTCTGCAAAAAAGCTACTCTATAAATATTATAAATGGATTATAAAATTATGCTAGCATTGAAAATTTACATTTAACATCAGCTTATTTTTGTGTATGTGTATAACAATAAAGATATGTTAAAATTATTTATGACAAGTGATTACTTCAATCCTTATTCAAATGAAATCCATAAATATTAATTTAAGATATGCAAAATCAATTTTTATCAAGTGTTAAAAGAATACATACATACACATAGTCTTTTAACTTATTATATAAAATATTTATTAATTTATAGAAAATATAAAATAATTATTTTAAGATATTCAATTTAAAGTATCTTCAAATCATATGAGTGTTTATTCAATTAATTAATACGTTAGTATTTTCTTCATTGATATTTTCATATAATGTAATATAGTGAAAATGATATAGACTAGAACTTGATTATATAAATGATTTACTTTTATTGTGTACTTAACAGTTTTTGTAAATTTGATGGCAATAATATAATATACAATATATGTTAACTTCAAATGAATATAATCTTTTATTATTCTAAAAGTTATAAGAGATGAACATAATGTTAACAAAATACGTTTTCTGCTAAAGAATAAATGGTTTCAATTATTTAAGTATGACTTAAAATAATTTGATATAAGAAGCAAGAGTAAATAATAAATTCACAAATATGTAATTGTGTACAGTATCTTACAGAACTTCTACAACGATAATACATGATAGACGTGATCATTAAACAACTATGTAATAAAATATTATTTTATATCAAGTTTGCATAAATTATTCTATATTGTATTGTATACAATTACGCCTAGAACCGATTATCTTTAATATATTCAAATTAGAACTATATACATATTGTTTTTGCGATTCAATATGTAATTGAAAAGCTTTTTTTTTTTTGCAGTATATTTATAATTTGTAAAATAAAATTAAACTCTTATTTGCATTGCGATGATACCTTTAACACTTTGAGCATTGCGTCATTAATTTGTGGTAGATGTATTTTCATAGACTTCATTACCCATAAATGCTTTAATAGTTTTTACTCAAGCAAGAAAGATTTCGTTAAGGGTATTTATTATATATTGACTGAAAATAATTAAAGCTTCATTTGTTTAATGCATTGAACATATATTTAAAACAAAATTATAAAAAATTATATTGATTTTAAACGATATTCTGAGAAGTAAACAAAGCGTAATTGTGCTTCTGCCATAAATATAGGGCAATATATCACAATTTCGTTTATTTTATTTTGTTAGTGATGTGAAATACAAACAAAATATTAAAGAAATCTTAGAACAAGCAAAAGATATAAAAAGTTAGACATAGGAGCGACTCGCGATTTATGGCAGATAATTTTTGTCAGACGTCACTAAATGTATTTAATGATTAAATTATCGAGGATAAGTAAATAATTAAAAAATATTTGTTAAGTAACTACATAAAATAATTCTTATTTACCTCTGCTTACCTGGGAAAAACTGGAAGCAAGTCATAAACTAGCCTGTTGCTTATGGACTTTTAAGCAACTCCAGAATCACATTTGAAATATGTTGGGCACATAATATATTAATGACCAATCCTTGAAACTGTTTATATAAATATAATTACATATAAATCTAAAAAAAACTTTCAATGAAAGTTATTCATCTTGTTGCACTTTTTTTTTCTTTTTCTTTTTCTTCTCTGTCAAAACTGATTCACCCTCTGCTGATTCTGTTGGAATGGAAATGTCTCCTTGTGTCTCTACAACATGCTTTTCTTTCTTCTTCTTTTTCTTCTTCTTAGATTCTGAAACTAAAATTTACATTGGTTAATAAATTCTGCTTTTTTAGCTTAATATGTATAAATAGAATGTATAAATTGCATATGTATATAAATATTAAATGAAAATTACTGACCAATACTTTCATCCTGTGGTTCACTTAAAGCTGCAACATTTGTATTTTCTTCTATTTTCGCACTTACAGTTTCACTTATTTCTTCATCTTGCTTGGATTCCTGTTTGATTTTTTTATTCTTTTTCTTGGATGTAATTTCTTGTTCATTTTCACCTTTTACTATATTTTGTATTTGTGAAGATCCTTCAATATCCTCAACATCTTTCTTTTTTTTCTTTTTTGGAACTTCTTTGCTCATTTGTGTTTCACTTTCTTCGATTACTGTCTTATCTTCTATATCAGAATATTTTCTCTTATTACTTGTAAGAGTTGTATCTGCAGCTGTTGGATATTGTATATATTCACTTTTGTTATGATATTTTTCAAATTTAGCTTTTGCTTTACTAGTTCCACTAATTTTATGTAAATTTCCTTCTTCCAGTATTCTTAATCGTCTTTCCAATTTAGCTTTATGTTCAGCACCAAGATCAAAATTTACATCTTCTCCTAATGCATCAACTCTTGTTGCTAAAGATGCTTTTGCTGCAAGCATTCTAGACATTTTTCCTTTATTCTGGACAGAACATTGTCCTACAAGCTGTGCATGGTAAATTAAACCATACTTTGGAGTATCCTTTTTGGTTTTTAATGCTCGAAAAAGTGCTTTTTCTGCACCAAGAATTTGTACAGTGGAAGCAGGATGTTTGGCAAGATTGATAAGAGAACCTGCATGTGAAATTAAACGAGCACCCACTAATTCTCCAACTAGAATTGTTAAATTAGGTGCCATTGCCATCATTCTAGTTTTAAGATAGTCATATAATTGCGCTCTATATTGTGAGATTTCTATGACTTGATCACATAAATGTTGGATATTCAAAATATCATCTTCTGAAATTTCAGTTCCCATTGATATTTCAGCAGCTTCTTTAACTTTTTCTTCAATATCTTCAGGCAAAATATCAGATAGGTCTGTATTTATCGTATTCTCTCTTGTTCCAATTATTTTTACACTTCGTACAAATGCAATATTGTCTGTTATAATTTTACCAAGTTCTGGGAAGTGCCAGCCATACCATTCACGGCAACGCATTACATAGTTATTCAATTCTTTATCTAAGTCATCCAGTAAACAAACAGCTTGTACTATCATGGTATCTATTTTATCAGGTGAAAATTTTAACTTATATCTGGAAAGACTATGAGCTAAGCCCAAAGCCATTGCTGTCATTTCTTTCTTGGGCAAACCAGCTAATAATCCATCTGCTTGACTTCGAATGCATCTCATTAGTTCTTGTATTGCAGTATTGCTCACACAAGATAAACTAAGTTTATCTTTTATAGCATTTCCTAATTTGGCATCAGCTACTGCTAATTCTTCTTGAAGTTCTGAGAAATGTTTCTTAAGGGTTCTTTTCAAGGTTTTAGACAATTTTCCCTCTACAGCAGCTGTTGTTGCAGCGAGAGCTTCTGTAGTATCCTCAAATTTTTCAAAATGTTTCAATTTGACACTAAAATTAAAATATAAACAGATATTTACAGTTACAATAATATTATACAAATATAGGTATGGATATAATGATCCCTTATATAAATCAAACATTATATATTTTTTATATTACGTGAATATGGAAATGAAATTTCTTACATCTTGTTTGCTGCTTCTGGTGTTTCAAAATCTAGAAATAAATTTTCTGTTTCTGCTAATTTCTTTTCATCGAGTAACTGTAATAAAATATTATAACCAATTAAAAGTAAACATCTTTAACTAATAAAGTACATTCCATTATTTTTTTGTAATAATTTATTATATATATATTGTATATTACATATATACAATAACATATTCGGCTAATCTGAGCACGTGCAACATTATCAAGGTTATGATTTTTATATTTTCGAACGAAACACACATCAACTTACTTTAAATATTGCGTATCCCGCCGGAGTTTCAAAGAGAACTAACATGTTTTCTTTATTTAGTTCAAAATATACACATAAAATTAAGTAATAATTCACACACTCATTTATATTTCACGAGTTATTACAAATTCAAAACTTATTTCGGCAAAGCCAAGCCTCTCCGAGCCACAGAGTAAAAAGAGAAAGGAAGGAATTGGAGGGAACATTTATCACCATAGTATTTACATAGTATTGATAGGTGTTCCTATTCAAAGTGTTCTAAAGCGTACTCTAGCGGCGAACTTATGAATTTTAAATCTTAATATCAATAAAAAAAACATTAAAAAACAAAATAATCTTTAAGAATATAAATGTAATCTACACCTATTATTTCAATTATTTTTTAAATAATGACTATTATAATTCCTCCAAAATGGCAATATTCAAAGATCGTATAGAGCTTGCATAGTACCAGCTGACAGCAATGGTCGTCAACAGATACATGTCATTCCACAAACTGTCACACAGTGTGTGGAATGTAAGGATCAAACATATGGATATAGCTTGTCCGAACATGTCGTATTACGATTAAAAAATATTTAAAAATTCCTTTGAATTTACAATCTGTCATAAATGTTTACCTTTCGTTTCTTATAATTTAATAAATTTGATTTTTAATAAAAATTATTGTAATTAGAAGATTGTATTTACATCACATTAAAAAATTCAATAAAATTTCTGATAGATCTGTTAATTGTTTTAGTGTTCCTCAAGTTTATAATGTCAGGTAGGTTAATATCGTATATTTAAAAAGAAACACATGATAAAAAAAGAATATATAACATATTAAATATAAAAGTTAATTTTATCATCATTTTGGACTAATGTAAGTCATTTTAATATAAATATTTTGATGTAAAGTAACAGTATGACTCTATTTTTTAGTATCAATTAATACAGTAGATAGTTTGGATTATTGTTATTTTCCTATTACGAAATCTCGCATTAAATTGCGAGTGAAAGCTAATCATGATGCCAGAATTTCTCTTAGAACTCATTTAGGAGATGATTCAAATGTATATGAAGTAAGTTTAAAATAAATAACATATTTGTGGACTTTATATTTGATATTTAATTTAATTTTTATCCAAATAAAAAATGAATTTATTAAGTTTGGTATTTATTTTATATTAAATTTAAATAATTTGAATATTTAATATAGCATTGCTACTTTAGATTATCCTTGGTGGATGGGGAAATACCATGTCGGCTATAAGGAGAAATAATGTAGAACCAGATGTAGCTGAAGCAGAAACTATAGATATATGTGGAGATAATTGTAATATTTGGATACAGTAAGTGTTAATCTAAAGATAAACAGATAAGTTATGTTTTATTAATAAAATTAGTTGACAACTTATATATCTATAGGTGGTCTTGTGATGGTATGTTAAGCGTAGGTCAAGAAGATATAGAATGTGAAACTTTAATGACATTTAAAGATAGAAATCCATTTGTTATCAATTATATAGGATTTAGTACAGCTTGGGGTGCGACAGGAGAATGGACTATAATGAATGGTGAGTGAAGAGTTATGTATAGCAATGTATTTAAAAATAAAATATAATTTTTATTTTCTCTATGAAGGTATGTAAAATGTATAATATAATTATCTTTTTTAGAATACAAATTTACATCACTTGCTATCAGACAACAACTTGCCGATACATGTCATTTATGGTTTGATTTTAACAACACATTAAGTTTTCCGCAAAATGCAGCTATGGCTTCTGAAGACGGATTATATATCGGACGTGCACATCATAAAGATTCTGTAACACCTGGTGGTATAAAGGATAATATTTGTACTTTAGCATGGGGAGGAACAACTCATGACAAAAAAGAATTTCAAGTGTTATGCATTAAAGACATTGACTGGGTAAAATCATGGGAGGGTAGTGTTCCTTTGTATGCTCTTCCTGCTGGTGAAACAGAAGATGGTTATGCTCTTTTTATTGGTAGAGTTTTGCATGAAGGAGTGTATTATGTAGGAAAAATACAACCAAATCATCAAGTATGCTATATACCAGTTAATGGACAAGAAATGCCTTGTTTGGAATACGAGACTTTGGTAATACATAATTATAATACCATGGAACATATAGGAAGATAAATACTTGTTAAATATGAAAGATATTCGTTTACATCGACTGTATAATATATTTTGTGCATTCTATACCTCAGTACTATAAAATGTTTGTAAATGGATATAGAAATTAGGAAAATTATAATAAGCTATATGTTATGTCATAATTTATAATTACATAATCTAGATATTCATATATTTCTTAATACCTTTCTGCTATAAGCTGCAAATTTATTAAACAAAAAAATATATCGCTATTGGAATGATAAATGCGAATATGATGCTCTGTGATCGTAATATTCTGTAAACTGTTCGTACCTTATACGGTGATAGTAATTTGTTTTGGACTGATAATGATAAAATGCTAATTATTTTTAGGATTATATATATGTATGTATGTATGTATGTATGTATAGTAGATAAGTAAAAAAGCGAATGTTACAAAAAGAGAAATAAAATTATATTCTTTGATCGTTATAAAATCGTACCGTCTATTATAACTCCCCGAATTTATTCAAAATAAAAATAATGCTTATACGAATTTCGAAATATTAGAATCGAGCTTTTCATCATCTCTGGTTTTACAATAATTTACGTCAATAATTAGTACAGACATAATTTTTGAATGATTTTGATGAACAAACTCTCATATTAAAAATAAATGATCAAGTGAAGACATAGCTTTTTCGTAATTTTAAAAAAGCTTTATTTTCTTTGAAAAAGATCGTGCTTAAAAATGGTGTTTTTTTTCGAAAATGTTTATGCACAAAAATATGCATAATAAAATATAAATCCTTGTCTTAAACCTTCATCTTTAAAATGTGACTTTGTTCATCTAAATCGTTCAACAATTACGCCTTGGTGTTTTCGATATTTTTCGTGAAAAAACGTTTTATGTAGTAATTAATGTGTCCAAATATTTCTGGAATAGTTGATAGTTCACAATAAAAATGAGTCGGAATTACTGAAAGATCAAATTAAAAATTTGCACGGAGTACAAAGGGTTAATACATATGATAATACATAAATTTGCGCATTTAAAGAAATTATATCTTATCTATTTGCATGTAGAAATATTATTAGCAATGTAAAGTATTAGTATTTTAATATTTAATCAGAATTAGATTGAAGGGATTTTGAAAATAGATTGAGATATGCAGCTATTCATCCAGTAGTACTTGCATTGCGTGATTTACAATTAGATTTCAATATATTGCAAGTATTACCGATTCAGGTCTCACTACGTGGAAATTGCTACATGTGGAGATCCACAAGCTAACGGTGATTCTACTGTAAAATCCGCGTTCACAAGCTAATCTAATCAAATTTTCGAGCAAATAAAACGAAGTCCCCTATAAGACTTTTAATCGCGCTACGAATATCCCCGCCTATGTCCACCGATATGCGCGCATGTTCTTTCTTATCCTTCCCGTATTTTCGCGTAAAAATCGATGGTGAATCGAGCCATTCGACAATATGTCGAACTCATCCGATTGCAAATGAATCTATATCTCTCGATGATTCCTTGATGATTTTTGGAAAGGAAGACGAAAAAGAAATATGAGATAAAAAAGAGAGCCGGATAAAGGCGATTTTTTCCTACTGAAAAAAGGAAATCCGCCTAAGGTCTCTCCTAAAGGCCCATTTTAAGAGTTCCACCCGATGCTCTTTTTCTCGATGATCCTGAAAAGAAGTGTAGAAAGAGGAAAAAAATTGGTAAAGAAGAGTAAGGGTAGAAAAGAAAGTCGGCATGTTGGATGATTTTTTCCTAAATGATCTAATCTGAAAAAAAAAGGAGAAAGAGAAGATAGAAAAGAATAGTGAGAGATGAAATTTAACAGAAAAGAGAAGAAAAAAAGAAGAAGAGAAAAAGAATAAAAGAAAACCGTGCGCACGTGTACGAGAAGGATAGAACTCGGAATAAACTGTGGACATTTCAAATATCATTCTACCAAGCAAAATTAGAGTAAAAATTGATTGAAATTGAACTCGATATTCCCTACTGAAAGAAGCAGACTTATCCGAGGGTCCATACTGAAAAACTCTTCCCGAGGCTCCCACCCAAAAGGTTTATACGATGCTAAGCCCTCCCCATGGGCCCAATCCATACGTCCCACCCGAGACTTATAAATAATAATTAATAAGAATAAATATGAATAACAGCGGACGTAAGTGCAATAGAAAAGTTTTCTATGCGTTTGTCTAAGAAATTATTTTAGAATTTCCATTATATTTAATGGTTTATCTATTGAATTATTAATAGTAATATAAAATGTAATTAATAGCAATATAAATTTAACGTTTAGATACAATTAGAAAGAAAAGATTTTGGAAAAGCATTACAATATGTAGCCATTCGGTCGGTAATACTTAATATCTCCTATAAGATTTCGATATATCGTAAATCGGCTCATGTTTCATCACTATGAGTTGCTGCATTTGGACATCCACAGGCAGACGAGAACTTTACTCTAAAATCTGCATTCCCGTGAAGACATGAACTTAACAACAATTCAAATCTCAATTAAATATTAGTAAAATAATTTTATTTTTTAATTATTCCTTTTCGAATTGGCGATACCACGAACTGAAACTAGCTGAAAAGAAATAAGAGAAGAAAAAAGAATATATATATGAAACATTTATTATGAAAAGAATTATATATGAAAGATAATTCTTGAATTTAATTTAATTTAATTCAAGAGAAGTAAAAAAAAATAAAAAATTCTGAATACAGATCTAAAGAAATATTATTTTCTCTAAAAGAAATATTATATTAATAATGCGTGGCAAAATTTGAAGAACTTGGCATACATCCCGTTCTGTTTATTTCAGTTTCATGTACATCTTCATTCAGTGCATTTTTAGTGCTTTCTATAATTGCCATATCTTACATGTTTCGTAATTATGACTTTAAACTTAATAGAAATAAGAAATATAATATTTATGAAAAATAAAAGTATAAATTTAGTTTAACTTTAAGACAAAAGAACAAAATGAAAAATGTATAAAACTCGATTTTAATAATAAAAATGCAAAATATTAAATAATCCTATAGTATGCGGG